CCCCGCCCCCTCTCGGAGCCGTGGCCCCGGGGCGCGCGGGGCTCTCGGGGCGCTCGCAATATGCGGGCGGACTGTCGGCCGCCGCGATGGCGAGCCGGGCGGTGGTGAGAGCCGGGCGCAGCCCGCAGTGTCCCCGAGTCCGGGCCGCGGCCGCCGCCCCCGCCCGGGCGGCTCTCCCCCCCTCCTGCGCCCTCCCTCCCAGCTCCAACTCCTCCTCCTCCATGCCGCTGTTCCTCCTGCTCCTACTTATCCTGCTCCTGCTGCTCGAGGACGCCCGAGCCCAGCAAGGTGAGTGGTCCCGGTGAAGTGCGCGGTTCGGGGGGCGCCCTGCTCGGGGTGCCCAGTCTCTCGGAGGTTAAACGAGACTGCAGACGCACCGGGAGCTGCGGTGCGCTTTCATTGTGGCCAGACCTGGCTGGCGACCCGCAGGATGGATTTGCAAAGGTAGGCGCTGCCTGCCTGTCCCCCAAGTTGGCGTGGCTTTACTTTTTCGCAAGGCCCTTTTTCCTAAAAGAGGAACGTGAGATCCTGCTAGGAAAGCTCTTTTGATATTGGATCTTTCTTCTGAGAAAAATATTTGGTAGGAAAAAGAGAACTTTGGAGACGTGACCTCTGAAGCTAAACTACGTGGATGAATGGACAGAGTAGGAAGGCGGGGACAATTAACGAGCAGCTTAAACCTGTTAAAGACAAGTCGTTGTAGTTCTTATGTCATCCTTCGTGAAAGTCCTGAGGTTCTAAAGCGAGTGGAGTAGATTCTGGTTATCTCCGAGTCTTGGCTTCAGAATTTGTTCTTTACGATCTCTGCCTGGTACTGGGGATGCTCGCCTGGGTTAGACACTGTCTGTGATACACTACCCAAATGGAGCGCGCCACAATAAAAGGGAAAGCCTTTCCTGAAAGTGACAGAACTTTTTTCCCATCTACAGTCGACAAGCGAAATTGTTTACTAAATAGTAAATCATAATAGAAAGAGAATGAAGGGCTGACTTTTCCCCTTTAGTACTGTTTTCAGGCAGCATACCACAGTGTCTTAAAGTAATTTGGCATTCGTTATTGAACACATATTCCACTGCATATCCCATTATATTGCAGAAAGAAGAATAAGGTTTGGATTGTTACTGTTGCTAGGAAGAGATTTTTTTTTTTTTAAATTTGCTCTCTATCTTGAAGTCCAGCATAACGTTACTAACATGGTTTTCAGTGAAGTATGGAGTCATGGCCATAAGCTTGTCATTAAGACGCTGAAACTTTTGTAGTTATGTGGTGACCGAATCTGATTATGGGAAAACAATGTATTTGGTAAGTTGACCGCTTTAGATCCAGGTACATGTAGCAGGGAAGTTATAGTCTAATTTAAGATTTAGATGCTTAGTATTTTGGTTTTAGTTATAGATCATCTTCTTAAAAGAATGATTGAACATCAGCCCTTAATGTAGTGGTGTGTGAAATCCTTCTCTCCCTCGAGATTTTCTCAGGGTAGGAGGAAAAGAACAGGCTTACCTATGAGTAATGCTTATAGTATAGAGCTAGCTTTGCGGCAGGCACCGGGCTAAGTAGTTTGTACATATTCATCACAGCCAGTTCAGATATACGAAGTACAGTATTATCCCATCTCAAATGTTAGGAAACAAGCACAAAAACTGGAAGGTACCTCCATACAGGAAGGAATATGACTACATACGCGGAATACTTCTTTTGCTTATTTCGAGATCTAGAAGTGTTTATATCACGTTTCTAAAAAACGTCTTGAACATATAGAATCAGTTACGTGTTCCCTCCACCAAGTGGGATGATAGCCCTGATTTTAGAATTTCTCAAGGCCAGTCTAATCAGACACTCCATGTTACCTTATTTTTAAATATTTAATATTGTTTCACCAGAGTATTTTTAACAAATCACATTTTCTCTTTCATGGCATCATTTTATATAAATGTTAATGTAGATGACCACAAATAGAAATGATTCTGGTCATTAAAATTGATTTCTGGGCCAACCTCATGACCTAATGGGTAAGGGGAACTGGAACCCATATAAACCAACCACAGTTCAGATTCTGCCCCAATTACTACCTTGATAAATTAAGAGCTAGTTAGGTATACATCATCTGAAAACTCAGGCATTGTGTGGGATTTGAACGCTATAATTTTTTAAAGTAATATGTCTTACCCAAAGGACCCTAAAGCAGTCTGTGGTGGAATTCATTTTAAGGCAGAGTCTTAACCTAACATACATGCATCAGGGTCTAATAGTATTCCCTCACGTGATCAGGAAAGACTCAAACATAAGAAGCAGTGCTTTAAAACACCTATGGAATATTTAATGAAGAGACGGTCTCCATGTTGGAAACTTTTGTAGTTATGTGGTGACCGAATCTGATTATGGGAAAACAATGTATTTGGTAAGTTGACCACTTTAGATCCAGGTACATGTAGCAGGGAAGTCTAATTTAAGATTTAGATGCTTAGTATTTTGGTTTTAGTTATAGATCATCTTCTTAAAAGAATGATTGAACATCAGCCCTTAATGTAGTGGTGTGTGAAATCCTTCTCTCCCTCGAGATTTTCTCAGGGTAGGAGGAAAAGAACAGGCTTACCTATGAGTAATGCTTATAGTATAGAGCTAGCTTTGCGGCAGGCACCGGGCTAAGTAGTTTGTACATATTCATCACAGCCAGTTCAGATATACGAAGTACAGTATTATCCCATCTCAAATGTTAGGAAACAAGCACAAAAACTGGAAGGTACCTCCATACAGGAAGGAATATGACTACATATGCGGAATACTTCTTTTGCTTATTTCGAGATCTAGAAGTGTTTATATCACGTTTCTAAAAAACGTCTTGAACATATAGAATCAGTTACGTGTTCCCTCCACCAAGTGGGATGATAGCCCTGATTTTAGAATTTCTCAAGGCCAGTCTAATCAGACACTCCATGTTACCTTATTTTTAAATATTTAATATTGTTTCACCAGAGTATTTTTAACAAATCACATTTTCTCTTTCATGGCATCATTTTATATAAATGTTAATGTAGATGACCACAAATAGAAATGATTCTGGTCATTAAAATTGATTTCTGGGCCAACCTCATGACCTAATGGGTAAGGGGAACTGGAACCCATATAAACCAACCACAGTTCAGATTCTGCCCCAATTACTACCTTGATAAATTAAGAGCTAGTTAGGTATACATCATCTGAAAACTCAGGCATTGTGTGGGATTTGAACGCTATAATTTTTTAAAGTAATATGTCTTACCCAAAGGACCCTAAAGCAGTCTGTGGTGGAATTCATTTTAAGGCAGAGTCTTAACCTAACATACATGCATCAGGGTCTAATAGTATTCCCTCACGTGATCAGGAAAGACTCAAACATAAGAAGCAGTGCTTTAAAACACCTATGGAATATTTAATGAAGAGACGGTCTCCATGTTGAGATGTTAAGTTAGAAGGCAGTGTTTTTACTAAATAAGTCTTTGGTGGGGGAGGGAACAGCCTGTGGAGTGGTGCTAAAGGTGCCTGGATCCCACATGGCCTACTATGTCATTCAAGTCCTGGACCCAGCAGTTTGAAAAACATGGCCAAAGAGTCCCTGTGGGCCCATATTCCTGAAAGGATTTTGATGGAGGAGAAGGATTAGGCATGGTGATCACCCCCCGGGGTGCTTTCTCACTCTCCATGCCCCCTCTCTCTGGCAACGGCACATACCCTATAGGAAAATAAAAAATAAAAAGTCTTAGAGGATTGGAAGGAAATAATAAAATGTTAACCATTATCTTTTGATGGTACAATTGTAGATAATTAAAAAAAAAAAACTTCACATTTTTGCAGTTTGCAGGTAGAATTTAAAAATGAAGTGTGAAAAATATTTTATAATTAAAAGTTTTTTTTATTTTATAATGGAAAGATTTTTTTCTACCTCAACCAGCTTGGGTATAAATGCATTTAATTACATATGTTGAAGTAGAACGTGCTTTATCATCTTCTTTTTATATTTCAAACATAATTTTGAAATAGCAGATTATATTACCTTCGTTCCAATTAATGCCATGCATAGGTATTCCTCAGAAGACATTCTGCTGACAGTTATTTTCTTTATTTGACTCAGAATAAAATTTACCATTGACTTGAAAACTTGCCAGCTTTTCACAGCAGAGATGTAGCTTAACCAACCTTACTTCATAAATAAGTTTATAAATTTTTTGATTTTATCTTTTTACTATGCTAATATTCTAATATAGATTATGTTCATGGATTTTTTTAGATCTGTAGTTGATATTAAGACATTCATCTCTTTTTTACTGAAAACGTTTTCTATATTATGTGTATAAAAACTTAAATTGATGAAACAACATGGCAATCCCATATTTGCTACTGTAATATTTACTTAGTAGGAAGTTGACAGTTAACTATGATTAAATTTATGTCTGTACATTTTAGCTGTAGGAATTTGGGTCACCTCATCTCAAGTGCTCAGCTTTCTCATTTATGTAATTGAAAGCCTGGAGCCAGCAGGTGGCAAAATGGTTAAGGCATTGGACTCCCACAAAGCTAGTCCTAGACCTAGCTGCTTGCTTTTTCACTTCCTTTCTCTCTCTCTGGTGAGCTCATGTGCCCTATAGCAAAATTCAAATAATGATACATAAAGTTAAACGAATAATTAAAAAAAAATAAAGTGTGTGGGGCCAGCAGGTGGCATAGTGGTTAAAAAGACATTAGGCTCCCACATGGCTGCCCGAGTCCTAGACTTGGCGGCTTGAAACTCACACCGGGTGTGTGTGTGTGTGTTTGCGTGCATGCTTAAAATCCCAAGAAGAAAATGGAGAAGGGATTGTAGTGTAACTGTCTGCTTTGGGGGGTGATTTCTCATCTCTGTCTCTCTGGCTCTCTGGTGAGCACATGTACCCTATAGTAGAAATCTCTTAAAAAAAAAAAAAAAGTAGAGGAAAGTAATCTGATCATGGTTAAATATCAGGGATTGATTTTTTAAAAATATATTAAGACTCGTTCATGGGGCTAGCAGATGGTGTAGTGTTATGTCGCTGAACTCCAACATGGCCTTCCATGGTTTTAGTCTCAGATCCAGTGACTTGAAAATTATGCTGGGCACATGTACAGGGCCAGAGAGAGAAAAGGGTGCTGGGGCAGAGGAGGTTGTGGCATGGCTATACTCCTTGGTGGGTAACTTCTTGATTTCTGTCTGCCTATCTCTGACAAGCACATGTACCCTACAGCAAAATAATCTCCAAAAAAAAAGAAAGAAAAATTAATTCATTTGTGCCTAT